ACTCACACCAAGAGGAGTAAAAAATAACACGACAATTAAGGGAATTTGTTATCTGACTAATAGACACAAGGTTACAAGAGAGTTTAGGAACATGAAGTACATGCATGATTATAGAATTGGAAATTTTAACAGTCCATGTTCCAGCAATTACGGCGAAGGGACCACAGCAATTCTAATCTTTTTATTGCCTACACATGGGTTATAAGTTGAAAAAAATTGGGAGCAACCTGTTATGTGATCAGTGGCTCCAGAATCTATGATCCGGGAGCTGTTTTGTTTAGGGTTGACACTGAGAACGGATGAGATAAGATTACCTGTTTGGACAAAGGAACATTAAGGGGTTGACTAGTTTACTTGGAATTGTGAAGACTGAAAAAATTTGTGCAGTTGCTCCAATTGCTCCTTCGTGAAAGGCAGCCCTTCAGGAGTACTTTGCTGTCCCTAATCTTCACTGGTTGCCTGAGCCGAGAAGCCTCTGTTATCAGCATTCTTCTTCTTTTAATTCTGTGGGTTTCCATGAATCTTCCAGCAGTTGTCACGTGTATGCCAGTGCTTCTTGCAATGATCACACCAAGGCTTCTTTTTCCTGTCATTTTCCGATTCATTCCTCATTGACACAAGGGCAGAATTGTTAGTCACAGCAGTCATGGGTTTGTTATCTTCTTCAATTTTCAACATGACCTTCCTCCTAGTCTCCTATCTCCTAATTTCAAAAAAGGCCTCCCAAAGAGTTGGTAGAGGGTTTTTTCCGAGGATCCTAGACCTAATCTCATCAAAGACTCGATCCAAACCAACCAAAAACAAGTACACTGGATCACTCTCTTCTTTTTTCATGAATCTCACGCTATCAGTTGGGCAGTCCCACTCATCATTGTAACATTGATCTAAGTCTTGCCATAGGGAAACCATCTCATTATAATAAACTGTAACCTCACGCTCACTCTGTTTGGATTTCCACAACTTGGTTTTCAATTCAAAGATTTGTGAGGAATTTTCAAGATCAGAATAAGTCTCTCTAACCGTATCACATACATCTTTTGCAGTAGAAAGAAAAAGGTTGGGTTTACCTATGGTCAGTTCCATAGAGTTGATCAGCCAGACAGTGACTAAGGAGTTTTTTGATCTCCATGCTTTCAGTTTCGGATCTCCATCTCTAGGTTTCTTCACTTCTCCATTCAGATAACTGAGGTTCCCTCTTCCATCTATGGCCAACTTCAACGATTGTGCCCATTCTAGGTAGTTTTTCCCGTTCAATGTGTGGAGTCAATTGGAATGAAAAATGAGAGGAGTCTCCCCCTTGAGCCATGGTGGTTCGATCTGGTTCACCACGATTAGGGCCTTCTGCCCTAGATGATGCCGAGGATCTTCCTTCTTCTGTAATGGCAGTTTCAGCCATCAATTGAGGAGATTATTTTCGGCTCTGATACCATGTAGGTTCCAGGGCAGAAAAGAAAGTATTTCTCATTGATTATTTTATGTACAAGGGTTACAATATTTATAGGAAAACCATCCCACTGAATAAGGAAAGTAAATCCCTTGATTGAGGGAGATCCTTATCTTAAGGAATCTCTTTAAAAATTGAAAGAATAAACTATTTTCCTAATTTATCTCTATGCCCTTATTAACCGGATTGGTACATATCCGGTCCATGACTTTAGTCTACTTTCCTAATTTCTACAATACCTAAATCTCTTTATTTTAGTACCAAATTGATTTTGAATCATCAAGTGGAAATTGGGAAAGATATTACTCACATCGGATTTATTTTTGAGCAAAAAGATCCAGGTAACTCTAGTACAATCATCGATAAAGGACACAAACCAAAGTGAACCGGAGATATTTGGAGTAGTGGAAGGGCCCCAAATATCACTGTGGATTGCATAGAAAGGAGAAGAACATCTTTTATTACTAATAGGAAAGGAAACACGAGTGTGTTTTGCATACTCACAAATGTCACAATGAAATCCCCTAATATCTAATCCCCTAAATAAAGAAGGAAACATAATTTTTAAAATTGCAAAAGAAGGATGGCCAAGGCGGTAGTGGTGCAACCAAATGGGATCCCTTTTGGAGGAAGAAAAAAAATGAGGATGTTAGGCTCTTCCTAATCATATGTGAAAAATTCAACGTCTCAAGGTAATAGAGTCCATCCTTTTCCTCAGGACGTCCAATCTTCTTCCCCGAATCCTGATCCTGAAACTCACAGTAAGAAGGGTAAAAAGTAACATGGCAATGTAAGTCTTTTGTAAGCTTTTGAATAGACACATGGTTGGTGGACAGTTTTGGGACATGTAAAACATTTTTAGGATAAGACTAGGTGCGATATGGACATCCCCTACCCCGGCTACTGTGGTTGTGGTTCCATCGGCAATCGTAATTTTTCTATTACTTGGACACGGGGTGTAAGTTTTAAATTGGTTTGAGGCATGTGTCATATGATCCGTAGCTCCCGAGTCTAACATCCATGAATTCACAAACAATTTATCTGAAGCATTTAGTCCACAAGAGAATGAGTGCTTACCCGAGAGTGCCAAGGAGCAAGTGTTGGAGGATGGTTTCTCAAGGGTTCCCAGCAAGTTCCTCAATTTTTCTATCTCTTCATTATTCAACCCGCTATGGTCTTGAGTTTGAGCTTGATCTTGACTTACTTGGGTGGTCTTATATGCTTGGCCTTGTTGTCATTACTGCTGTCCTCCTTTATTTCCCCATTCACGGCTAGTTGTTGAAGGTTTTCCATGTAATTTCCAGCAATGCTCTCTTGTATGTCGTGGCTTTTTACAGTAGGTACACCAAAGATCTTCTCGATTTGCTCCCTTTTTATCCTCCGTTTTTCCAGGTTCAGCTTTTGGTGGTTGTTCCAAGATGAGACCCCATTGTTTGTTACTAAAGGTCGTGAGTGCAGATCCATCAACTACTTCAAGTTCAAGCATCACTCATCTTCGACTTTCCTCACTCCGGATTAAAGCTATTGCCTCTTCCAAGGACGGGATTTCCAACTTCCCTAGGATCTGGATTCGTATAAGATCAAATTCCGGGTTTAAACCTGCAAGAAAGTCATAAACTCGATCTCTTTCTATTAATCTTTTCACTGCCCCTGCACAGTCACTACACTTCAAGTCAATTACCCTGTAATAATCCAGTTCTTGCCACTGGTTTTGCAGAAAATTAGCGTATTCTGTTACAGTTTTACTTCCCTGTTTGGATGCCGCTGTTTTGATCTTAATCTCGTAAATCAAAGCCGCATCACGAACCTTAGAGTAGGTTCCATGTGCAGCATCCCAAATTGCCTTTGCGGTTGGCAGAAACATGAATGTGTCGCTGATTTCGGGTGTCATGGAATTCCACAACCAAGACATGATCATGGAATCCTCTTCATCCCAGGCTTCGAATCCAGCATCTCCTTCCTTCGGTCCAGTCCCAAGTAAGTGACTTAATTTTCCTTTTCCCTTTAGAAAAGTCCGAACCAATTAGGACCACTTCAGGTAGTTTCTGTAATTGAGTCTATGGGCTGTCTATATATTCTGGAAATTGCCTGAAGAACGCTGAATCTGTTCTTCCTCCGCTGTTGGGTTGCTTAAACCAAGGGAGTTGAAGAGGTTGTTTCTGACATCTCTGAATTTATTCGGATGTGTGATCACAAGAAAGAGGGAAATCCGCAAAATAGGAAACAGAAAAGAGGGTCCGCAACGAAAAGGCAAATTTAGGAAAAAAAATTGCAGAAGAAAACACTGTAATGGGAAAAAAGGGAATTGCGATGAAGGCAATTCAGAGAAATTTGAAAAAATCTATGAAGGCCGAGGAAAAAAAATCAGGGAAATTCGGCTATGAAGGCCGAGGAAAAGAAGGATTTATTTCTGGAATAAAAAAAAAAGCCCTATGGCTCTGATACCATGTGGAAAAGAATGAGGAAAAAATATTTTATTAATTCCAATAATTTACACAAGCCACTAAAGGGCTATATATATACACGAGTTAGATAAACTCATTGGAGAAAAGAACTTATCCCTAATTCTGTTGTTAGCCGATCACCTAGAATCTAGGAAATAGATAATCACATGATCCCTAGCCCTAGTTGGTCATAATCCTTAGGAGATAATGCTTGCTTCTAGAAGATAATGTTAAAGATAATGCGGCTATTTCCCACAGAATCATTGTAGAACTAAATCCCATCCTCTCAATAAATCAGAAAAAGAAGACACTCTTAAAGCCTTTAACTTGAGAGATCCAAAGCGCAACTCATAACTTGATTTTATCCCAAACTTCGTCTACATCGTCCTCTATGTCCTCAAAGACTATTGTTCTTTTCTAACCACAGAGTCCACGTGAGAGCAAGAGTAGCTACATTCCATAACCTCTTACAGCTTTTACTTCTACCAAACATTAGATCATTATTGAAAAGATCCACAACCCAGTAAGGCATAACTCAAGAAGATCCAAACTCCCCCAACAATCGGTACCAAATACTTAAAGAGAAGGGGCAACTGAGAATATAACCTAATTGTTTTATTAACTTAAAACCTAAGTGTTAATATGCTAAAGGACATGGGTTTTATTACCACCTAAGCCAAGGATTTTAGAGGAAATTTATATCCACTTCCCAAGAAAATATCCATATACCTGACAGAAGTAATAGGCACTACTGTGGTTGTGAGGAATACATTGTACAGAGTTTGTACATACTCTTTTGGAATAAAAAATTAAAAAGACAGTTTGTACATTATACAAAGTTTATAAATAAAAAGGAGCTAACATACACTATAAAAATTGTGATCCCTCCCCTTCCCATTCCTTACAGCTGAACCATTTTTCCAACTTATAGCTAACCAGTTACATTTGTTTTCCACCAATCTTTCACTGCTACTTTTTTCCTTCCTCCTCTGTGCACAAATCATACAACTACTACAGCTAAACCTTTTATCTCCTCCTGACAGAGGTTGATGCTTTCAAATTATTCTAAAGATTACATGCCATAGAGTAGCTTCTGAGTGAAAAACTGTTACCACTGGAATAGATTGAAGGGAATTTCGGCTCAGGTCAAGGATCCGCAGGTTCTGTAAGCTCAATATATCGGATGGTACTTCATGTAAGTGCATTTGTCTGTGAATTTAAATTGATATAAGATGTAAGATGAATGACATGGTGATGTAAACCAAGATAGACGAGATAAAATCTAGATAGAAAAGACAACCAAGAAGAGAAATAGAACTGCTAGAGACAGAAATAGAACCAAAGAAGAGAAAATAGAGGATTTAAGAGACGAACAAGAACTCAAGGAGAAGAACAAGAACTCAAGATGAAGAAAACTAAAAATGTCAAAATTCATTCATCAATCAACTCTGAATTAAAATTACAACCACTAAGCTATTTATAGAGAAATTAAAATAATAAGATAAACTTCACTAAATTCTAAATAATCCTTAGAGATACCATAATCCTTAATGCAAAATTATATACTAAAATTAAAACACATCCTAATAGATAACTATGCAATTCAAATTCGTAATATGCTAATCTTGCTCTTCATCATATGGGCCTTAAAATAAAAAATGAATAAATTAAATAAGATACGGTATTTACAACGACAAATACATGAAGAGAAATGAACACGCTTCCTGTATGTTTGCTATGCACATGTAGGACGTGACTTTTTGTTGACTACCTGAGATAAAGCTCCTGTAAATGAGGTAGGCTAGAAAATGCTGGTTGCTCTGGTAGTGAAGCTGCATTACAACTTAGATCCAGAACCTGAAGCATAGGCACTGCTTTAAATCCATTTGATGGAATCTACAGGTCGAGAAAATAAGAAGGCGAATCAGATTGCACAACCAATTGGAAGCATAGAGCATAAAAATATAAAACAACATGCAAAAGAGTATATGCTCATTAGCATGGGCTTCACCTCTCATTCACCATAAGTTTCTTCTTTCTCAAGATAAAGAATCCAGAAAGTCATAACCAGAAGCAAGCTATTCAAACTTTCTCATTGAAAAATAATTTTTCTAATTGTAAGAAAAAGTCTTCTTCACATGACAAATAAACGTAGGTCGGCAAGAGACAAATAATTCATCTCTTTGAATTCAGTCATCATATTAGGTTACACACGTTATACATCTAGGGGTCTAATCTGATGCCGTTATTATCTTGAGAAAAGATATTTGAAAAAGACAACAGGTAGGCATTTAGAACATTTAGATGAAAATTTAATTAGTCAGAGAAACTGAATTAATGACTGATAGAATCAGATGACAAGTTTGACCAACCACAACACTCCTGATGCTATCTATAGAGGTTATGTAAAAGAAAACAAGCAGAAGCTTGTTTCAACGTACGTATACACACACACACACACACACACACAGAAGCACTTGTGCGCGCACACATACAAAGTAGGACCAAGGTAAAAGAGATAGAAGTACAGAACCAAGAAGAGAACTTTCAAAGCCCCTTGTTAAAGACAAGAAGCTTAACAAGATATCATTGATAAGTTTGAAAAAAGTGTGTGCTCTGATCTTCCAGTGCTTTTTGGAACTGGAATCAATATCTATTTATTCTCCCATATTGAAACAATCCAACGAAAGAGACATGGTATCAAAGTCAAGACAAATCCAAATGAATTAAGAACTCTATGAATCTTGTCAAAAAGAAATTCAAGAACTTCTTTCACAATACCTATTAGTAGTATCTAGTGAAGCTCCATTTCAAAACAAAGTGCCTATGAAAGTGGGAGATAAACCTTGTCAAAGAATCTAAGCTCTTATATACACACACAGAAATCACATAAAGCTTTACCTGCTTAAGGGGATTACTGTCCAGCTTCAAACAGACTAGATTAGGAAGTGACTTAAAGATTGAACCGGGCCATTCTTTGAACTGGTTTCTGGATAAAACCAAAGTCTGCAACATGTGGATAAAAGTTAGAGCCAACTGAGCAACTTTTTATTTTTAAATTATCTACTCCAGCAGTTCACAGTGATAGCTTTTTAACTTGGCCAAGCCAAGCCTATTATATCCAGGCAAAATGAAACCAAATTCTCCTTTATATAGAAATACATATCTTTAAGAGCCAACTTACTGATATCAGGATGCTGCTCACAGCTCAGGAGAGCTGCCCCAGACTCATGGCGAAATCAATATAGAAATGATGAAAACATTGAATGATTCTGAAAGAGACAGGTGGGAAAAGGTACAAGTTCCTTCGGCTTTTTTAACCACTTTTAAACCTAGCTTCTAAGCAGGCAGGATAACTAATGTGGAACCAAGAGAGAAGAGAGAAAGAAAGAGAAAGGAAGGCAAGGAAAAGAGAAACGGAGAGAGATGAGAAATAGAAGAGAAATTTAGGAAGAATAGAGAACACTAGAGAGAAAATCTCTGTACTAAACAATTAATAACCATCACATAATCACAACATAATACATAATCATCAAATAAAATTGAATAAATCCTAAAATAATCCTCATAAATAAAACACATACTTTAGTTCCTAATTATTTACATCTTGTTGCTCACCAATAATTAGTTCAAATAAATTTACCTGGAGGGACGTGCACGAGGAAAGTTCAACTGGTAGCTCTTGAATGGAATTCCTTGATAGATCAACTTTTATGATCTCACCTGATTCCCATACTTTTGCTGGGACAGCACTCAAATCCAACCCTTCCAATGAAAGTTCCTGAAAGCAAAACCCCCAAGAAAGGTGCACATCTCCAATCAAAAAACAATGACGAAAACAAGAAGGGTGAATCCTACTCATAAATCACATGTAGAGGATGAATCAGATCATATGTACTAATGGGATAGTAATTTCTAGGAGGAAGAGAGAGAGAGAAGGGAAAGGTTAACAGCATAACTGTGTGAGAAACCAAACAAATATCATAAGCTCATCTTGTTCAGAAAAAAGAATGTTGTGATAACCTATACCTTTGAAGTAATAGACAACCGAGATGCCATCGCTATTACATCATCTTTTGTTGTAGTTGTAGCTTCAGATTCTGCATGAGAATCACAAACTTTATTACTTAAAACAGAAGTTGGATTCAGATTTGTAAATCACGAAACCATGGTAATGGATTTTTTGAGAGGAAGGAAGGAAAGGAAACCACGGCAATGGATTGAAATATAGGATTGTCATAAGAATAGAGAAAGACCAACAGAGTTAGCATATGCATCAAGTGTAGCAAAATGCTCATGCTCATGCTCACGCATGAGAAGCACAAACCTTGACTTTGTGGAAGTCTACTTCGAAGATACTTCAATAAAGCTTGTGTAGGTCCAGAAACCAATGAGCTGGAAATAAAATATCAGCTGGATAGAGGATTCATTGACAGAAGCATTAAACACACAAAGGGCCGAGAAAATGCCTCACACCTTCGAAGAGTTCGTAAAGGATTTCCAGTAAGCAAAAGTTTTCGCAGGATAGTCATCTTCCCTAGACAAAGAACAAAAGGAAATAATATCTCAGAATATACAAGTAAATTATGGATTTTTTTTCAAAAAGTAGTAAACAAACCAAAATAAAGTTCTTGTTTCATAACTTTTAATTTAATTTAATTCAACTTAAAAGACAAAGGTTTTTTGAGCAAATTGAGCCGTGAGCCATGTGAGAACTACGATTCCCACAAAGTATAGCAGTTCTAAATCTCTTACAAGTAGAATAAGCTAACGTTACCCAGTTCTGGGGGCAATCCACTCAATGAATTGTTAGAGAGATCCAAGACCGAGAGACGCAATTTGCATGCCTCCACTGGGTACTCTTTCAACTGCATCACATATTTTAGCAGACACTTATAATTCAGTTAGCCACATCTAGGTTACACAGTGCCTTAATGAAGTTGACCATCATCATCATGTTTTATCATCAAAAGTTTGTCATCAAATTAAATCTGTTGACACTTCATTATTTGGATTCATTTCTTTTTTGTTGTTATGCATCCTGTTCTCACAACAACAGGGGAAGAAAAGAATGATGTCTGACCAGGATTCACTTGGAATCCATATGCACTCAACATAATAAAGCATGTACAGGAAAGTTCTCAATACTTTTGTCTCAATAAACGAGCTATTCTCCCAAATAACTTTACACTACAGATTAGATAGAAAGTTCATTTATACTAACTTTTAGCTACCTGGTTTGAGTGAAGATCTAATGTCCCTAAATGAGAAAGCGCCCCCATCTCTGCTGGTAAAGTAGCAAGTGCATTGCTCCTAAAATTTGATGGTGCAATTGGACAACAATATAAAAAGCTTCAAAAGTTTAAAGAAAAACAATAAGTAAAATATGCTTGTTTAAGTGTGGTTACCCCATGTAAAACTCCGCAAGAGAACCACACCCCATTATTGATGGTGGAACAGCTGAAATTCCTGCATACCTTGTAGAATTAGGCAACTAACAAGGACAAGTGTAAAAATGGGTTCACAAGATCTCAAAATAGGGATATTAACGTAATTCAATTATGATTTAACTCACTGTTCTGATGGAGGTCAAGACGAATGAGATGTGAAAGGCTTCCAATGTTATCTGGTATACTGCTGAGCAAATTTTTTGCTGCACAAGTTACGTAAAAACTATTATGAACGTGTAAATATAAAAGAAAGAATTATCACTCAGTTGTAAAACTTTGGGCAATTACATGCATTGAGCTCCGTAAGCATATTCCATGACGCAATCAAAGTCTCAGACAGCACTGTTAGCTTGTTTCCCTAGCACGGATAGATGATAGAAACTTATTTGCAGTACAACAACTACCATAATTTTTCAATATATAAACAAGCCAACCAGCAAAGTAGGCGCCAGGGGTACTAATATTACTTACCTCTACATCCAGTTTCATCATTTTTGAACAGTTCGCCATATCTTCTGGAAAGCTAGTGATACTATTGTTTGATACCTGAAAAAGAGTTCCAAAAGGCAGCTTTTCTTCGAGATCATATGTGGAGATAAACTAAGAGAAAACTTTTGAAATTGGAAAGAAGTAGATTTATAAGATCACAAAGTCACTGACAGTGAAGGTCAAGCTCCTCTATTATTGCAAAGCCTAAAGATACAACTAGCCAACTTAATTCCACCAGTATATCACTCCTTAAAACGAAGACCCAAAATAAGAATACATACATTCTTACAGCAGGAAGACCGATTACATGGCTCAATCATACATTTATATTAGCAAACCAAAAAATTACCTTAAATTCTGATAAACATGTACATCTTCCAAGTGAGCTAGGGAGTTTCTTAAGCTGATTATTTGAACAATCAAATCTGGAAACATCGCATATATGAAATGCATCACATTAACTACGTAAACTTATACCATAAACTTACTCTTAAATTCGACAAAGAAGCAATTTTGCAATAAACTTGGTTGGAACAAAAATGAAAAAGTACATATATTATAGCCCACCTCAACCAGTTTTCACTATATGTCAAATAGCAAGGTATAACAAAATCAAGGCGCTACATTTTACAAGGGTGGTAAGTGACGGCTTGCAAATTTCAAAAGACATGGCCGTTTCCATGTCTATCGAACACAAAATATCAGATAAAAGTAAAGCTACTTCTATTTCTATAAAAACAAAGTAACTAACAAAGAATAAATAGATAAAGGAAAAGCAACGATAAAAAGAAGTTCGTACTTGACAAGAGAAGTTGCAGAACCAATTTCCTCGGGTAAGTGTTGAATTGAATTGAAGGAAACATCCAATGATTTCAGCATGGGAAGCCTATTCACAATCCAATTCAAGAAATTAGAAAACAAAATCATCCAGTCTAGGAATTCATGAGAAAGGCAATCAAACTATAAGAAAATTTTAAAAAAAAAAATTTTAAAAAAACTTACTCTCCTATTGCAGATGGAAGCACCGTGAGCTTGTTATGGCTGACATTAAATACAGTAAGTTGAGCTAAATTTCTCAAATCTTCTTTCAAAACTTCAATATCGTTATGAGCAAGAATGAGCTTCTGTAGCTCCACAGCCTAAAATCAAAAGAGATTAAATACGAACTGACATTCTGAATATTCACATTCGTAATTCATCCCAACCAAAAAAAGAAAGAAAAAAAAACAGAAGGCGAAGATTTTTATCGAATTACCTCCCACCATTTCTCGTCGTCACCAACTGCGTCTAAGCTCCGATAGACCTCGTTCGGAACATCTCTAAAAAATTCAAAACACAAATAATGGCGTCAAAAAACCGTAAATCTCTTGGCTGGCGAAATGTTGGACGGTTTTTGGAGATGAAGCGGAGGAGAAAACTTGCCTGAGAGAGCGATTCGAGAGGTTGAGAGAACCAGAGGCTCTCGCGGCTTTGAGAAGACGATCCATGGGATCAAGCTTGTAACTTTCGACGAAAATGAGGTTTTGATTTTCAGATCTGTGCTTCAATGGAGTGTGGATTGGAGTTTTAACATGGACGACTGACTTGTTCAAGATGAGCAGTTAGACATTTTTCTCCGCAGGTGATACGGTATCATTTTTTTTTTCTCTGTAAGATTGGTGTTATTTGGTCTCTAATTTTTTTTTTCTGGAAAACACTATTAAGTGACAAATTAATTAATCCCACGTCTTTCAATTTTGATAAATTCGTCCCTAAACTCTCATGTCCCGTTTGGTATTGTTTTAGAGGCTGTTTCAACTTTTCTCAAAAAGATACGAGTTGTTATGGTGCATTTAATTGGTGTATTCGTGTTATAATTTAAATCAAAATTTGTGGTTCGTTACAGTATTTTTTTCATAAAAAAATACACGTAAATAAAAAATCATTCTGATTTATGATTCTAAATCTATGAACCAAAGGCTCACTTAGTGTTTGATAAATTCTATTTTTATCTAACAGTTTTTAAAAATTACTATCAAATCAGAATTTGAGAAACAAGTTTGTTGTTTTTGTACAATTATTCTATTATCACGGTTTAAATTTACTTAAATAACTTTTATAATAAATTTAATTCTTTATTTACTTATTTTATTTTTCATATTAAATTAAATATATATTTTTTAAAAATATCATTTAAAAATTGAACATATTTCATAATCATACTATGTTAAATTTACTCAAATATTTTTTACGCTTATCAAAATGTTTAAAAATAATAATAATAAATATTAAATTTAACCATTTATATTTTAGAAATATTTTAAAACGATAAATTAAAATAAGTTTTTAGTATTTTGGTGGAAAAATATTATGAATATTGATCTAAAAAATAAAAATGAAACTAATTATAAATATGTGTTCTAAAATATGTCTATTTTAATTATTATACATTTTCACAGTAATTTTATACATAATTTACTAAATACTTAAATTTTTACTTTTGGTATTCACAACAGTTTTTAGAAACATTTACCAAACACCTAAATATTTTTTTGTCAAAACAACTTTTCCCTAATAGCACAACAACAACAACAACAAATTTTTGAAAAAAATGAAGAATTTACTCTTAAAATGCATGAATCTGAACATTTACCCCTTATTCTTGATAAATACTATTTTGTTAATGAATATTTTACTAGTAAATATAATATTTATTTCAATTGTTTTAAAAAAATATATTATTTATTTCAATAACATTAAAAAATATGCTATTGTCTGTTTATCTTTTAAAATTTTATTATAGAAAGATTTTACAATTTTACTTACTTTTTCTTTATTTTTTGTTTTTCTATCCCTCATCTAAAACTCTAAATCAGCCTATAAATAAAAAAGCTATTAACTTTTATTTAAACTTCTTACATTAAAAGAAAAATGCGTGTCTATTGTAGGCTAAGTCAAAATTCCTCACCCGTAAGGTACAATCTATTAGATCTTAACGAGGGTCTACATAGTCTATTCAACACCAAATTATAGCTTAAAATGAAAATATTAAAAAAAACCCCATTATATTTCAAAAAGTTAAAAAAATAAAAACAATAATAATATTAAACCTATTTCAACATTACTAAGGCCTCGTTCATTTCACCGATTCAAATTTTCAGTTACAGATTTTTACAGTTAAAAATTTTCATAAAATATCACATCTAACTTTTTTTTACTACAATTAAAAGCTCTCAGAAAATGTCACATCTTAACTCAAATTGAAAACTCAAATCCACGAAACAAACAAGGCCTAAAATTATATCAATCTATTAAAAAAATATCAAAACTAAGATCAAAACTAAGATCAAAACTAATTTCACAAATTGAATATCAAACTAATTTAACTTCCAATTATTTAAAAACACAAGTTAAGTTCAAAAGAAAAAAGGAAAAAGAACTAATTTTACAAAAGATAACCCAACACCTCATGCTTGACTCCTCCACATATGGTCGCTGGTCGCCGCGCATGTCTCACGCTCCACCATGTTTGATCTTCAATGACGACACCGCCTATGTCACCACGATCAAACATGACGACAATCAAAACACCGCAACTATCTCGACGAATCTCAACCAGAATAAAGGGGTTGCTCTTTTGGAGTATAACTTGAGTGTAGTTTTTGAGTTGAATTTGAGTTATAACTTGAGTTGAAGTTAGAACTTGAATAAAGTTGAGTAAAATTGAATAAAGTTGAAACTTAAAAGAACGTAAACTTGAATAAAGTTGAAACTTGAGTTGTCTTTTTTTGAGTTTTATGGACAAAAGAACATGCCCTTTGTTACTCACCCGCGCAAAGTCGCGACTCGTGACAAACTTTGACCACTTGCGCCCTACTAATCTGCCATATCTTTGCCACAACACCGGTGTTGATTGACTCATCATTGTCTTCGCTTCAACGCCTTGCCTCAATCAACTCCGTCGAAACTCCGTCCGCGAGATAAGGGAAAACTTCATCTGTAATGGTTGCAATGAGGGGGCAGAGGGAGATCGTGTCGTTGGGGGGCAAAGTTTGTCGTCAAGAGGTGAGGTCTGTCGCCTGCGTGGGTGGAGCTTCGTTAAAGGGTGGCCGGCGGCTATAGGGAAGCACATCAAATCTTGTGGATTAATTTAGGGGTTTGGACTTGTTTTAAATTCGAAAGTCTTGAGATTTATTTTAGGTAAAAATTAGTTTTTTTCCAACGAAAAGAAATTAGATGTAGGAGGACTTATTATAATTCAACACTCCTTTATGTTTTGAGCCGTCAAATTTTATGGGTTGTTTGGTTGAGGGATTCGTACCCCGATTCGAATTATAGTTCATAGTTCGTTACAGTATTTTCTCTGACAAAAAATACACGTAAATCAAAAATAGTTCTAATCTCATGGTTCTAATCTATGAACCAAACGTCTCATTAATGTAATAATTGTGAATAAAATGCCACTAACATTTCGGGCTCCATACCATAAACTTCTCCTTAAAGAAAAAAAAAAAGAGATCGGTTTGCAATTTAAAGGACACGTTTGGAACTCGTTCTAAAATTATTTTATTTTTTGTATGAAAATGAAAACGTTTTCAATCTCAGATAGAAATCATTTTTGAAAATGCATTTGGTAGTTTTATCAAAAGATTATTTTCAGTATAAAAAACCCCATTAATGTCTCTCTCTCTGCTCGAGAGAGGAGAAAACGAAAATAAAAAATGTTTCATTTCTCTCTCATTTTACACTAAACTAAAAATCGTTTTCATTTTTCTTTTTCGTCTTTATTGCGCTAAACGCCGTTTTTAAAACGTCATTATTTTTTCTTTCTTGAAAAATGTGAAAAATAAAAACGGGATTAATTCCAAACACGACAAAAGTTTCTGAAGAGTCATTTTGTTAATAAAGCATTTCATTTATGTCATTTTAGATTTTTAACGAATACCTCCAAACTTTTTTTTTTGGCTATTTTGCATGCACACATCTTCAATTTTGCCAGTTTGGCAATTTAGTTTCAAGAGTAATTATTGTGGCTAAAATTTAGCATTGACATATTAATTCAGTCTCTTAGTTTTGTAAAGTAATTGCGCCTTCTTATTCCAATTATTACTATGGTTAAAAAGAAATGATGTTATAGCGTACTGAAAGTATTCAGCATCACTCATTAATATAAAATGGGTCCCACAACATAGTGTTTATAAGTAGGGTCCATGTTCTATCAGTGAAAATGCTTAACATGTACCGGTTATTCCTCCAATCATTTTTCATTAAAAATACCTTGAATAATTGGGGTTGAACTCACCTGTATCCACTAGAAGAACCAACGTCCCACCTACCGGCCAGTGCCAAGGACCCCGCCCTTTTGAGTTTAAAATTAAGTGGAATCCCGTGGCCTGTGTTAGCCAGGCAAACAAGCATATGGTTTTGTGGTGGGATATGAATGACCTCCTTATCCACAGCATTTTTGGAGTATGAAATATTTACTGTATCCCACAAGTCACTTCCAATGTAAAGATCAAAACTTGGAGGCATATCTTGTCTATCATAATCGCCGTACAAGAACCCTGCTCGCATCAAATATTTGGTACCTTCTAAAACATCCTTAATTTTGTAGCAATTCCTGTTTCCCTCAGGAAAGCTCCTAAGAGAGACTGCCGTTGGTATTCACCTTTGTATTTTTCTAAAATCATCTTGCTTTCACCGGTGTCAACGAATGTCCCGTCGGAAACGAAGTTTAATCCTGTAACCTTCTCAGTATAGCTTGTAACATCAGGTTGCACGCCACAATCTATGCTGATAAATCCTGAGCCATTTAGACATGTACATGTAATCAAATTATAAATAAACCTTATCTAACTAACTCTTAAAAAAAGCCTAAAAGCGGTTTTAATTGATAGATGTATTACTGTTGCCAAATTTAACAATATGATTGATATTATAGGGATATGCTAAGACTTACTGTGCACATGAAGGTTCTAGATAAATTAGTTGCGTGATCGATATTAGAATTATGGCTGATATTTATAGGCGGAATACCTAATTGAAATGTGTTACATTTCACCAATTTGAGTTTTGCTATCGTAAAAAGCTCTCAGAAACAGTCACATCTAACTTTTTTGCTATAGTAAAAAGCTCACACATAAAATCACATATCAACTCGAATTAGCGAACTCTTCTTTTGGCTGTTGTAGTTCATTTTGGTTTATTTATTGCTCAACCCTTTAAGTTTTGTACATTTCACCTGCCTTTGGTTGCTTGGTATTTTCTGCTTAAGGCAGTGTTTGTGGCGTTGCAGGTACAATTATTGATTATTACCTATACTGTTTTAATCTCTGTTGTTCATGTTGAATCCTTTCACTACCTTTTTCTTTGTGTTATATTCATAAATAGTAATGACATATGCACTTTTTTTAGTACTTCTTTTATACACTTACCTATAAATGTAAAAACATATATATAATGTGGCAATGATGGTTATGGGTGATTTTAATGTATTGAATTTTATATAATCTATCCAAGAGTTGCCGTCACTAACTTCATTCCATTTAAGCTGTGATGTTCTTCATTGATCCCTACTAAAACTATTTAATCAACGTCATTTACTACAAACTTGGCATCTTCTCTTTTTTTTTTTTTTTTGCCCATGAATTACAAACCTCTTAATATTGTTCATTTACTCACAGAACATTACCTATTGTTCACCCCGGGGTCTCCCGGGGGTGCCCCGGGGATACCCAGGGTGTCCCGGGGGTGCCCCGGGAGTGCCCCGGGGGTCTCTAGGGGGTCTCCTGGGGGCGCTTTGAGGGTGTCCCGGGGATCTCCAGGGGGTGTCCCGGAGGTGCCCTGGGGGTGTCTCGGGGGTGACCCGGGGGTGCCCTGGGGTCCCCCGGGGTGCCCTGGGGGTGCTCCGGCGGTACCCCGGGTGCGCCGTGGAGCCCTCCGGGGGTGCCCCTTCTCCACCATATCCCGCTAGCTGTCCTTTCCAACACTTTTGTGGAGAATGTTCTTGGTCGCCTCTTTGCAGCCCATTCCAATGGCCTTAAAGCCCTTGAGTTCTTCGAATTTTCCCTCCGCCATTCACAGTTCAGTCCGAGCGCAGATGCCTTTGAGAAGACATTGCACATCCTTGTACGAATGCGTTATTTTGAAAAAGCTTGGGAGTTGATGGCAAAAATTGGAAGAGAACACCCTTGTTGCCTTACGCTAAAGTCAATGAGCATCATGTTGTCAAAGATTGCAAAGTTCCAGTCTTATGAAGACACCCTTGCAGCTTTCGAAAAGATGGAGAATGACGTTTTTGTTGGGAAAAAAATTGGTACAGATGAGTTTAATATTCTTCTTCGACCTTTTTGCACGCAGAGGCAGATGAAGGAAGCGCGCTCTGTGTTCCGAAAGATGTACTCCAGGTTTTCCCCTGTCAAAAAGAGCATGAATATATTGCTCTTGGGTTTCAAGGAGTCGGGAGATATTACGGCTGCAGAATTGTTCTATCATGAGATGGTCGCTAGAGGTTTTAGGCCAAATGTTGTGACTTATAACATCAGAATTGATGCTTACTGTAAGGCAGGATGCCTTGGCGATGGTCTGAGACTTCTTGAAGAAATGGAACAGGCCAATTTCTCTCTGACTTTAGAAACAATCACTACTTTGATACATGGAGCTGGAATTTCTCGAAATCTAATCAAGGCGCAGCAATTATTTCAGGAGATCCCTTTCAGAAACTTACATCCTGATACTGGGGTTTATAATGCCTTGATGAGTTCGCTTATTAGATGTAAGGATTTGAAGTCTGCAGTTGCGTTAATGGATGAAATGGAGGAGATACATATTGACCATGATTATATGACCTATCACATCATGTTCTCTGGAATGATAAAAAAAAATGGACTTCGAGGGTGTATCTCACCTATTTGACAAAATGGTTCAAAACAATTTTGTTCCTAAAACACGAACTGTGGTTGTGCTAATGAAGCTTTTTTGTGCAAATTCTCGTGTTGATTTGGGTTTGCATTTATGGGAGTATTTGATGGGGAAAGGATATTGTCCTCATGGTCATGCGTTGGAGCTTTTGTTGACAGGACTGTGCTCTAGAGGTTTCGTGAAAGAAGCTTTTGAGTGCTCAAAACAAGTGCTGGAGAGAGGGAGGCATTTAAGTGAAGCAGCATTTCGATTGATAGAGAGGCGTCTATTACAAGAAGGAGAGAAGGATCAGTTGAGGAAGCTTAATCAGATGATTGATAAATTACGTACCCATTTGCCTCCAATAACAGAGAAAATGCTATAAGTATCCTGGCTGCTCCGACAAAGTAATGGCTCCATTTTTAAGCACGTAATTTTGATTCCATTGTAATCACCGAAAAAAAGGTTTGATTTCATTGTATTTGAATTCATTTAAAATTTTGCAAGTGTATATAAGAAAATTAGAATACAAATTTGACTCTTTATTTTGTTGGGTCTGATTTTGATTAAATTGGGCATCGATGGAAGCATTAATTGGAATTTTACCTTTACCAAGTTCACTTATAGATGGGGATCATGTTAAAATACGATTATTTGGGATTGATTTCCTCGATTGGGGAATTGATTTGGTTGATTGGAATTAATTTTTAAACATGGCAATTCTGAATTCACCATTTAAATTTTAAAATTTGTTATAATATTGGTCAAATTGAGAACGAATTTAAAAATTTAAATGATTCTTCTACGTGGGTATTTAATAAGAATAATTAATATCTTTTTACATCAAATTGATCCTCATATACGCATTACAAGTGATGAGTTTTTTAAAATTAAGAGTTAACCGTTTTGGGAGAAAATAGGGGATCCCCTAATTTCAAAAAAAATTTCATTCATGATGTGTATAAATGGTTTAATTCGTTGCAAAAAGACCAAAATTATCCTTTTTAAATACTTACGTGAAAGATATCATCTAAATTTTTAACTTCGTTTTCAATTTGACATAATCAATTTTAAAGTTTAAAAGGTAAATTGCAAGAAAAAAGTTAAAAGACCAATTTATCAAATTCGTGAAGTTGATGGGGTATCCATGCAAAAAAGCCTTTTTTTTTTGTTGATGAACCTCCAAACAATTTTTTTTCCTTGAGAGACAATTTTATGTTTAAAAAAACTAAAAGGATTAATTACAAAAACTCCTCATGAACTATACCCCTTATAACACGTTACCTTTCAATCTTTGATATGTAACATCTGTTTTTCTTGAACAATAAAAGGTTAATAAAATAGCCCCCTTCATAAGGTTTTTTAAGGAAGATTGACGTGTAATTTATTATTTTGAGGTATTTTAATAGTTTTATGATTTAAAATTTAGTTTGAATTAAAAAATAATTTAAATTTAAATTTTTAATTATGATACATGTATTATTGATTGAATGTAAGTAAAAAATTTAAATTTTTGATAGAACAAAACAATTTATGAAGTTTTTTTTGAATATTTAAATTAGTTTATTAAAATGTCCTTAAAATAGTAAATTAAATGTCAATTTCAATTAAAGCTCTAATAGAGGGGTTTTTTTGTTAAAATTTTATTATTAAGAGAGAACATATGTTACGTTTTAAAAATGAAGAACAAATGTCATAGAGAGTATAATTCTAATGAAATTTTTGTAATTAATCCAAACTAAAAATGAATTTAATAAAACCTTCGTGATACCCAAAGTATCCTCACACAACTTGTAAAATTCCCACACTTATCCTTCCTAATCCTATGATAAAGAAAGCATTTCTCTCTTCCTTTCTTCTTTCTTTTTCGCCCTCGCGCCGCCGCCTCGGTCCCCATCCACCGACTCTGCGCAACTCTCCCACGCCGACGCCGTGAGATTTCCCGAGTTGTTTTCCTGCACTTTCTCTGCAACCAAACAAGTTGCGAGATAGTTTCTTTGAGCTTGCAAAGATGACGAAGAAGAAAGAGAAGAAGGTGAACATCTCCGGGAAGCCGAAGCACTCTTTGGACGCGAACCGGTCGGATTCGAAGAAAAATGATTCTCGCAGCGCCGCCACGGTTCGCCGGCTCAAGATGTACAAGACGAGGCCTAAGCGTGACAGTCAAGGCAAGATTTTGTCCAACGAGTTTCAGTCCAAGGAGTTGCCCGACACGCGAATCCAACCCGATCGCCGCTGGTTCGGTACGAACAATATATACGTACATAAAAAAATATATATATATATATGTCTATATAGATTGATTATGATGTTGACTTATCAGTGGTAATAGAGCTTAAAAATGAGTACTGTTTGGTTACTTCTAGAAGTACTTGGTTTAGACTGTTGAAGAGCTGATTAAGTTGCGATTATGTGCATTTCCTTTCGATTATGATGTTGTAGAAGAGATGGTGTTAAGGAACAAGAGAAAAATTGAGGAATTGTGGAACCTTTTTGGTTAGGAAGATAATTATTCATAGTATTAGGGCTTTTGTTTGAGTTAAGTCAATGGTATTTTTGGTGGGCTGAGTTTGTAGGTAATACTCGGGTTGTGAACCAAAAGGAACTCGAATTTTTCCGTGAAGAGCTGCAAAGCCGAATGTCGAATAACTACAATGTTATTTTGAAGGAGAGGAAACTGCCTTTGTCCCTCTTGAATGATCACCAGAAGGTAATATGAATTCACCAATGCCGTTATGAGCTCAAATATTAGTTACAATGCATTTTCTGTGGTGACATTCTTATTCTTATGTTGTATCATACTAAACTGTGCTCTTAATAAATGTGAAGCAAGCCAGAGTTCATCTCCTTGATAGAGAGCCCTTTGAGGATGCTTTTGGACCCAAGACAAAGAGGAAGCGTCCGAAGCTCTTGGCAGCAGATTATGATTCTTTGGTTAAGAAAGCTGGGGGTTCCCAGGGTAATTATTTTCATAGCATACTTTTTACTCTTCGCATTTCCAGGGAGTTTATCCAATATAATATTTAGCCTGTTGCTTGCATGGATGGATATGTTTGGGAAACTTGAATGTATACGCCTTAAAAAATTGAACCCTTTGTTACAAGTGTCCCACAAAACCATTTTGGTAATCTGTAGATGCATTCGAGCAGAAGTATTCTGCTGATCCGTCTGCAGAAGGAAGTGAAGAGGATGGATTCAGAGACCTGGTTCGGCATACAATGTTCGAGAAGGGTCAAAGTAAACGTATTTGGGGTGAGCTTTACAAAGTAATAGACTCTTCCG